GAAGAAAAATAACGATTGCATGCAAATTTCATTTTTTTGAGAGGCTTAAAAGTGTTCGAAACGACTTAAAACTTTCTTTGCACTCACCGATGGTTAGCTTAAAAAAAAGAGAGTGAGTCATTAATGAAGTACTATATCAAAGTTACGTGTGCCTTTAAGTGAGCCCGTAAGTTACCACGTAAAACAGTAACTTACGAGAGTGCTAAGTGCGTTCCATGCAACACCCGTAAGTATACCCATAACGGATTCGTAAGTGAACTACTTAAGTGGGCACTTAAGTGTAGGTTTTAGGCAACTGGGCCCTGGTTCGTTATTACTAAAACACTGTTCTAAGATGATTTATTAGGTGGAGTCCGCTTGCTCGGAAATCGCCAAAACGCTCATGCTTTTGGAACAAAAAACCTTGAAAACCATACAGTTTCTAAAAAGTGTCCAATAAAGGAACAAAATTATGAGATAATTCAAAATTGAATGAACAACGACAACAACAGGAAGCTTTATTTGCATGGCCATACAAGTACACACAGTATTGCAAAAGCTATTTATAATATATTTTAAAAATAAGAACTAAAATTTAGTAACAGGACAAAAAGCTTCTTGGTTAATAATTCGTCGCGAAAATCAAAGCAAGCTGAAATAATTATTTCATGAATTGTATATTGTTGAAGTTAATTGTTCAAAACGTTTACAGGTAACTGAGTAATATTTGGAATCAGAGTCTTAACTTCATTGTAAAAATTATTCCTGATCAAAGAGTATGTAGGACAACAAAAAGAGAAAGCCAACTTCGTCTTCCATTTGATCGATTGGAAGGGCTGATTGTATCTACAAAGTTCTATCAGTAGTTTGTGGTTACTTATTCGTAAGTTTACTAATTTCCGTCTCCCACTGTTCCTCTCGTTAAGTCTAGGTAATTGGAAGTGGTATGAGAGTGATGAAGGTTGTTTTGCCAATAAACCTACAAAGTTTTTTTTTTACCATAGCGGTATCTAACAAATCAGTGTTAAAGTCAGGTAGGTTACAGCCAAGTGCGTTGTATCGCGCTGCGCGTTTTGCAAACTTCGAAGGGATTTTGGTTTATTTTTAGAATTAAGGAATTCCTTGCACTGCGTCAGGGTATCATGATATTGCTCACGTATGATAGGATTTAGAGAGCCTCAAAGTTTCTAGTTTGCTACTTTTCAACGGCATTCTTTATCGTACCATTTTTTGTTTAAGGAAGACTTTATGCATCTATGATCTTTTACCTGTTTTTAATCTTTAAACAGCATAAAGCCGTTGTAATTGAAATGCTTTCCACTTTCTCGACCCTGTATATCTCAGCTTTTTTCAATGAGTGTGTCGTCAGCAATATTATCGCGCACTAGCGCTTTTACACGGGGAGACCTTAAAGCATCTTTGAATTTTTGTGCAGAGACTTTTCCCCATAAAAAATTGTTTCGGTAAACGTGTTAAAGTATCTCTATAAATAAAACTCCGCTGAAGGAAACGAAGAAAGCGGTTGCTATCACATTCGCATCTTTCGACCAAGAGCGTTTTTATACAGGTAGTTCTAAGAGAAAAACATGGACTTGTCAAAATCTGAGCCAAGGTTATTTTAGTTCATCGTCTCCACCATGCAATTACTTACCGGCTGAATATTGATTTCTTTTCTAAGCAACTGAGTGTACTGAAAAGAAGGAGAGAACACTATTTCACAAAAAAGGGCGATTATAACTTAAGCTTGGGTATAACAGACTTACAAAATAATAATAATAACAACAACAACAACAACAATAATAACAATAATAATAATAATAATAATAATAATAATAATAATAGTAAAAGCTTCCCATTCCGCCTAAAATTAAAATTTAGGAGAGTTAATTTTGCCAAATATGCTCGAGTTGATTCATATTTTTCAGTTTTAATGCGATTCAGCTGAAATTTTGCATTAACATAGACGTTTGTTTTGTTTGTCAGTCTGCAATTTCAATTGGGGAAAGAATTGCTTCAGAAAATTGGCTCCAATTTCGACGCTAGTATTTTTATATGTCTGTCCTCTAACAAAAACTCCCTTTAAAGTAAAAATGCCGGTAGAAATGAAGAGAAACCACCAGAAAACGCAAAGCAAATTGGAACATTTATGACTTTTTAAAACCAATCCAAGTTATTGTCAAACTTTCTCAGTTGTTCAATGACTGCTGAAGACAATTGATGGTGGTGGAGTCTCATTGGCTAAATATTTGACACATTTGTGTCCTATCATTGCCTTGAATAAATTACGAATTAATAATAATAATAATAATAATAATAATAATAAGAAGAACAAGAAGAAGAAGAAGAAGAAGAAGATTTTTATAGCGCCTGTCCAGTAATGATCTAGGCGCTTAACAACAATTGTTTCCAACGTTCAGAACAGAAATGCGATCAGTGATGGTTATTGACTCAGAGGTGTGCTGCGTCAGTGTAAAGTCTTAAACTAGCCCAGGAATGTACGACTTTAAAAATATGTCCACCCACTCAAAAATTAAAGATATGAGGTTTTTGCGAGGTTCATCTTCTGTGACGTTGGTACTAAAACTACCCTAAAATGGCGAGAAATTCAATTTCAAAACGTTATATTTATTGAGTTGGTAGACATATTTTAAAATCTTTTCACTTTTGACATCCTTGTGGTAAGTTCTTTTAGAAATGGTTGACATACATCCCAAATCACTTTTGCTATTTTCTGCCACTTTACCACTAAAACTAGCCAAAAATGGCGGGAAATTTAATCTCAAGGACGTTACATTTATTAAGCGAGTAGACATATATATATATTATTAAGCGAGTAGACATATATATATAAATATTAAAATCTTTTAACATCCTTGTGGCAAGTTGTTTAGGAAATAGTTGATGTAAATCCCATATCACTTTGGCTCCAACCTTCATACCAAAATATGAAAAACAACAACAACAACAACAACAACATTGCTTATACTTTCAATGCGTTACAACCTAAAAGGCTGAATAAACTAGCGCGATGTTGATGTCACATGATTAATAAACCTACCGCCAAAGAGAAGTCATAATGATCATCCCGAGTAATCTCAGGAAGTTCTTTTCCGTTACGAACATGTTTAGTCCAAGTGGCGCGTCCTAAAAAAAACAAAAGCTATATTCATACTTTATTGGGCAAAGACAAAACACACAAAAAAGCATCTGGATTGTACCTAGTAAAGTAACAAAAAATAGATAAAATAATAAAAATATGATGATGATAAAACAATAATACTAAAACTTATTTACTAGTAATAGTTTGCATTCTCACGTTTTATACTGCATAATAATAGTAATAATAATTATAATTATAATCATAATAAATCGTCTTCATCATCATCATCATCATCATCATTTTATTAGTGGCGTCAATGCCTGGGATGTAGGTGTGGAACGCTACAGTGTAGGTATCGTGGATTGGACAGTGGAAGAGCTTGTCAGCATGAATAGAAAAATACTAACCCTCTAAGAGGACATGAGGTTACTGCTGGGCGTTCTATATAGTACCGATGGCCGGCATGATTTATAACTTACTCATAGTTGCCAAATAAACATTATGATATTTTAACGATAATCTCTCCCATTAAAACCTTTGAGAAACAACTCAGAGTTATGCAAGATCCTACATTTTTTTTTCCATATTCGATGAAAGTTGTGCCTCAGGATAAATGAGATAAAAAGAAAAGAAAACACAAAAGACGGTGGCCCACAGGGGACATACCACAAATAAAAAAAGTTGCTGCAGATGAAATAAAGTTGCAGCAAACAAAATAAATTTGCTGCAAACAAATTGTTAACTCCTTTTTGTAGGTGAAGTTTATTTTGACTTATGACGTTGACATAGTGAATAAGGGCCATTTCGATACCAGTGGTTCTTCGTCTACCTGATTCCTGGTCGAATTTAAATTTGGAAAACCGTGTCAATTTAACGCGGTATTCCCTCGTCAGGTAATAAATTTTCCTATTAGAGTTTTCTATTACTTGAGGACGGCTAAAAGTCTCTAGATAGCCATTCCATTCATGTGCAATTTTCGAAGCTTATCTAATAAATTCAATACGATTTTGTGAAGTTTAATTTTTCACATTTCACTGCCCAGGTTTGGATATTTTTCGTACAAAGAAGATACCTAAAATTTTCGGAATCAAAAATGTGCTAGAGAGAGGATTCAGAAAAATTCTCACTTTCCTAATACGTTAAATTGCATCTGAAGTTTTTGAGAAAATGATACTGAACTCTAGTAATTTCGAAAAGACTTAAGCTCTCCTAGGAGGACTGAACAGGTACAAATTTTATAGCGCTGCTTAGAATGCATTTCTAGACATCTAAAAGTACTCTGGATAGGGCAAAAGTGTTTTCTATGTATTTAGGAAGAAACCATCGTTGGGTGCCACTGTTTTACTAGAAAATTACCACTACAATGATTTACCTGCCATGTGAGTGTGTGGCCCTGCGGCAAATACGTTGATTCCACCTTCAGGTAATCCCGAATTCTTAAACATGGACTGAAACAGTAATGACGCCATTGGATCAATTAATATGATATGCTTACCTAATAAGTAGCAGTTAGGGCAACTTAGATAGTCTTGACAATATGCATGTCGATCGAAGTAGTGTCCATGCTTGAAGGAGCGACACACTGAGTGTCAGTCATCAATTAAATAGTTGCTTTACAAGTAAAGTTAGGTCTGTATCCGAAAGCAAAATTTCGATTTACATCACCAACAAAGATTTTTCCTTTCCAGACGACAAAAATATTGATTGTAGTTCGTTTCTGTACAGCATACGCTTCAGTTAAAGAAATTAAAGCTTAATCTACGTCGAAAGTAGTGAGAGTTTCCTCTCCCTGATTTAGCACTGAACTAATATAGTCCTGACTGGATTTGCTAAAACGTGCGTCTAGAAATTCCTCTCCTATCCCTTTCCCGATTCTTGTTTACCTTGGTTTGGTTTTCATTCTTATTATTAATGTAATTTGGTTATCTTAGGGTTTCAGTTTTAACCGCCTCGAGCAAAGTTTCTCGGAGGGCATCCTGTAAAGCCCTAAAAGGAGCAAAGCAAACTGTTTGGCCGCGTCTGTATTTCGCGTCATTTGGTTATACGGGTGAAAAACTCATACTCCGTGTTCGATATGAAACGGCAATCGATATTGGCGATTTGTCAGTTCTCGGCTTTCACAAGTGCTTGGCCTTAGAAACTGGGTGTCAAGGTCATATGTACTCGGCGAGAGCAAATTTGGTGGCGAATTTTTGCCGTGCCATAGACTTGGTTTTTGTCTGGTTTGGAAGCAAACTCTGTGTTGGTCTGCCGTCGGTTTTAGCGCAAATAATGAACTTAAGTTAAACGACTGTGAGAAAAATGTTTGCATGTGATTGTTACGTGAAGCGAGCGAGATTTTGAAGATACCTCACCCATGTTAAAAGAGGAAATATACTTGGTTTTCGGGAGTGCTACTATGATTTCCGCAAAAGTGTTTTAGCGTAGGATTTTAGGATGCTGCTCAGATCGGTTCATTCAGGGACTGACCACTAACTTTGCAAAGCATTTTTGGGGAGCAGGGTTGGCTAATGTAGTTTGGGCAACCTGGGCATTCTTTTCAAGCTACTGTGATCGAATTTACTTGATCCATAACTATTTTTTGCTGTAATTATAAGAGTGCTAGCTTGATGGAAGAGTTTTAGGACTGTTTGCGGGATTTTTCTCTTAAATCGTCCAACCTCTTCCTCAAAACGTAAAGGGAAGGCTCCTAAAATGAGGTATAAATTTGCGGAATTATTTGCAATGGCTTAAAGAAAATTGGTTTAAGGTTAATTGTTTTAATGTAAATGACAAGTATTTAAACGGAGGCTTCGCTTTTATGCGTGGCTAATTATGACGCAGAATTGGCTAGAGGAGTGCAACGTTTCTCAGGGTCTCAACGCATGTCACTCAGTGATATCTCCATGACAGACTGCCGGCCATTTGCCCTGAAACTCTTGGATCAGGGTACCCTGCGAGCAGAGGCTACATTTTCGCTGTAGGAGCTGGCGTGCGAAAAGTAGCCTCTGCCGACAACCGTTCAATTTTCTATCGTGCATGCGCGAAATTCGTCACGCGATTCGCAAGCAAAATTAATCGTCAGGTCTGTCGTCAAATGGCGCGAGTTTCGCGGGAATAAAAAAATTGCGTTAACTCTGATCTGCTACGCAAGATTCACGCAAGACTCACGCAATGCTCTAAACCGGTCAAGAACAGGAAAAAACCAGTTTTTTAAATTTATTCGTCCAGATTTCTGGACGGATTTGAACGGTTGTCGGCAGAGGCTACTTTTCGCACGCCAGCTAACACAGCGAAAATGTAGCCTCTGCTCGCAGGGTAGGATCAGGGCTGTAATAGACCTTTTTACCGATACGGCGGCCATATTGAATTAATTCGATTTAAGGAGTATTATAGGATGCCCAGGGGCATGAGCACATTTCGTTTGAATTTTCGAGCGCTTTTCGTGACATTTTTTCTTAAAGATTTCTTAGAATAAGATTGTAATGGGGAAAAAGATCCTTGTGCCGTGTTTGGATGTAATAATGATCACCTTTTTCTAGTCTAATATTAGAAATATGGTCTTTCACTGTATATTTCTCTGGAAAAAGGCGATCAGTATTACATCAAAACAAGGATCTCTTTTTCCATTACAATCTTATTCTAAGAAAACTTTAAGAAAAAATGTCCCGAAAAGCGCTCGAAAATGCAAACGAAATGTGCTCATGCCCCCTGGGCATCCTAAAACACTCCTTAAAGTGAATTAATTCAATATGGCCGCCGTATGGGTCAAAAGGTCTATTTGATGAAAGGAAAATATTACTGAAATATTTTTTCATGGAAGAGTTTCACTGCAGAAGACTCGGCAAAATCATATTTAAGGCCTTAAAACTTCTTTCAGAACTCACCTCTGTGCATTGATGCATGCAATATCCTTCTGTTATCCAGCTTTTCTGCTTAGGAGGAATAACGAACCAAGGATTCACTTGCGAACCAACAGCTACAATCCCAAGGTCATAGTTTCGTAGCTTGTCAGTGTAGTAGAGAGTGATACCTGAGCTGTCTTTTTGGCCTGAAAAAAGATCAATGAATCATCTTACAAGGAATGAAGATACACTCAAACTTTTTATTAAGCAAATCTGTACGAAGCGTTCACTTTCTAAACATTTAATATTTCAGTCGTCTCGAACCGAACTGGAATAAATGAGCCTACAATAATTCAAAGCATGAAACTTAGGTTAGACAAAGTTGTAAGCGCGAAGATTTGTAAAGGAATTATTATCTAACAGGAGCTTAAAAAATCTGGTTGGCCTTTCATAGATCCATACCAATTACAATGTATGATAGCACAAAATGATATTCTGGGGAGATTGGGCATGAGTCGCTAGAGCTAGACGTATATTTGAAAGCTCTGCAAACCCGGCTTCGAGCAATCAACATAAAAATGCACTTTTTAGCGAAGCTCCCGCGCGCAATTTTTAGATTATTTTTTTTAGATTGTTTTGTCTTGTTTCGTGCTTCTCTCCATTGTCAAAATGTGAAATAAATTGCATACATTTTGTAATTTTTGGTTTTTCCTACGTTCCACTGTCAAGTTTTAAAAACATTTAGCACAGAATTTGTAATAGTCACGTAATTATTATTCAAAATCAATCAAACAGACAAACAAACAAACAAACAAACATATTCTGTATTATCTATAGGAAAGAATACAATCGCTGATTAAAATTTAGGGTTAATCGGTCTTTATGGGAACGGACCCTGACCTCTTAGTGGTCGCAATCACCTAATTCCTGGGTTCCAAAGAGTTCAAGACATATATTATAATTTATTAAAAAACTGAATCATTGGGTAATGCAATTCTAGAGCTCTGATTGGCTTTGCCATCATGGTATATGAGGCATTATTATATGGCTGAGTCTGTTTTTGCCATGCGATTGGTCAATTTGCGGTCCGTAACTTGCTATACGGACCAAAATTTTTAAAGAAAATGCTCATTTCGGAGCTCTAAATCTCTTTACCTCGGAAAAAAGGTTTAAATAAAGTTATAAGACGCCTGTCAACCTTGAGGACTTGGATGTTGACTTTGGCCTTCAACATTTTAAACTGTGTTTATTTGTGAACGAAGGCGATGAAGAAACTAACTTGTAATCTTATCGAAGAGGATTCTAGTCAGTGTTTGAAAATTTTATCGCAGTACACAGTTAAGAAGACAAAAATCGACTGGCAGAGATTCGAGATGTTTTGCCTAAGAGAAATGCGTAATTCCTTCGACAAATATGATAACAAACATACCTGCACCCGATCATCTTGACAAGCTTCTTTGCCATTTGCAGTGTAACAACGAAAGAAAGATAGAAGCGAGTTGGAGCCAGACACAATGTCCAGTTTTCAAAAGACTCCAGCGTCACACTAACGAGTGAATACTTGCAGTGCTCTTAGTTTTGACCGAATAAACTTTAAAATATGTCTGTAAACCCTGAGGACTGGGATGTTGACTTTGCCTTTCGAAATTTTAACCTAGCTTTGTTTTAATGAGAACGAAGCTGAAAAACTGAATCGTAACCTTACCGATCGCGAGGAAGAAGAATTTTAGTCGGTGTTTGAAAATTTTAACGCAGATCACAATTGCAGACGAGAATGAATTGGCAGAAAAAGAGGTTTTCCCAAAAACAATTACTAACGAGCGAATCCCTCGGCAATGACAACAAACTTACCTTGAAAAGCTTCTTTGCCTTTTGCCGTGTTTTTTTACACGGACAAACGGAGGAAAGATGGAAACAACTTCTAGACAGACACAGTGTCCAGTTTGCAAAATTCTTTACATTAAGAAGCTAAAACTTACAGTGCTCTTAGTTTTGACCGAATCAACTTTTTCAACATAGCGAATTTGCTTTTACTTTCTTGGAAAGCCTTTGTTATGTGCTATTGTTTCCGTGCGCCAATAGAAACTTTCTTTTTTGCCGCCTGTCACATGACTGTCAAATCGTACGTCCTGCACTTGTTTCCGGTCCCCCAAACAGGAAGAAGCCATATAATAAACATCTTATTAGCCTCGTTTTTTCGGTCCGTACTGTAAATTACGGATCCTCGTTTTTTTCCATCGATAAAAAACTCGGTCCGTAATTTACAGTACGCACCGAAAACTCGGTTAATAAGCGGTATTTATACCATGCTCTCAAAATATGGTAACTGTACGCGTCTACTCAAAATTGAGAACAAGCTGAAAATCGGCTGTTTTTACAAATGAAGTCGGGAAGAATTCTCGATATTTTGTGGGAGTTTTTAACAAAACAATTATTCCGCTCGCGCTTGTTGGGTATGGGATGATTATAACGCGTACAGTCGTGGAATAATTGTTAATTATACCATCGAATCGATGGTTATATTGCTCGCATCTTTCAAATATGGTAAGCGCCAGTTGGTTATGGCGAATAAGCCGGGGGATTGTAGCCAATCGGAAACGACGAAATATTTTGAATGGATAATATTGAGACCTATACGTCGTTATATGAAAAAACATATAAGTCGTTATTCGAATATATATTTATATAGTTTAAAAATAACACAATGCTCTTATGCTGGGAAGTCTTAATAACGTTTGCATGCTGATATAGAAAACATTAGAAAGTGGACAGACCTTGAACGAGTCTCTGGTTGTCGTAATGCGTTTCTAGCACAAAATACTTGGGTGAGTCGCTGGATCCGAGTGCGTAACCTACATGTTGCGGATAAAAAACGCCCTGAAGGAAAAGGTAGAAAAGGGAAATGTCAAATGCTGAAAAATGGGAAAAAATAAAGAAGAAGAAAAACAAGTAGAAGAAGAAGAAGAACAACAACAACAACAAAAAACAACACCAAAAACAACACCAAAAAGAAAAAACCCAAGAACAGCAACAAGAAGAAAAAGAAGTTAAGCCCTTTGAAAATGCTTTTTCTCCTACTCATTTATTGGACATTTCCGACATTTCTGAACAGCGGATTTTGTTCTCCACAACCCTCAATCATTTCGAGAATTTCATAAAAGTAAAAGTTTTGTAAATGGCATACTGGCGTTCATTTCTCTAGAATAATAGAGCGATTTTTGTTTTTTGAACTTCAAATGATTACGCACGAACAAAACAAATTCACAACAACAAAACGAACAAGATTTAAGAATATCGTGGGCTTCATGATCAGTTATCGAACAGACACAAACGTGCGCTGTTTTTGATTGGAGTACGTACTTCCAGCCTAGCAAAGATTTCTTAAAAGTAATTTTCCCTACTTGGGGACAAGAAACTGGTCTGCCTATTGGACTATCGATCGACGTTTTTTCCCAGCTTATTAGGGTTCTTTAAGGCGGCAAAACGACGAGTTCATTGTTTTGACTTTTTAACACTTGCATAAGTAAACTAACTTTCAAGTTGAAATAAAACTCGCTCTACTAAGATTAAAGTACCGGTTCTCCTATCGCCAAGCCAGCGATCGTTGGGTACAGAAACCTGCACTGTACAAAAGGAAGATCGAGTGCACTGTCACAGTCGACGCCCTCATCGAATTCCTCCTCGCTGAAATTGCCATAGCATTCATACAGAAGCATGTGATGGACGAATCCTTCGTTTCCCTCTTGAATGTTTGGAACAAACTTAAATTTAAAATAAATAAAAAATGTACTGAAATTTATTTTCTTTGGACAAAATTTTAGAGGAATAAATACAAACCACCAGACTCTCAAATTCCTCTAAAAAAATTTTATGAAAAGCAAAAAGTTTTCTTTGGAGCCATTACTAAGTTTTTTAAGCTTACTAAGCAAGAAGAGTCTTTCAGATGGTTTCTGTTGAATTTTTCATTTTTTTTCTTCTGATCTAGTTTAATTAAACATTGGTGTGAATGATGGAGAATAATACTTTGCACCCAAAGTAATTCGTATTTGCATTATGGTACCTTGAATTCTTTCAAAAAACACTTAAAGACATATTTATTTCACCAAGCTTTTTCTTAATTTTAAAATAGATTTTTATCTATTTTTCATACTTACACATGTAGTTGTTGGATTTTTTAGAGTTTTAATACATTTTTTGGAAAGCGCCGTCAATGATATGACGCTATATAAGTAAAGTTTATTGTTATTATTATTTATTATTATAACCAATTACCTGGGTAACGTGGTGTTTTGACTTCAATTCTGGGGCCTTCAGCAGAGTACACCAGTAGGTTGTCGATTTGTTCCCTGGGATTGTGATCTATCAAGGTAGGAAAAAATGAAAAAGGCAAATACGAATTAATTTAGCATGTAAATGTTTTTAAAGGTACTGAAGCGATAAATTTTCTCACAGGAAAAGCAAGGTGGACTTTGATGGGTAGTTTCCATCAATGGCCCCTCTCAAATTCAACTCACCTTGTAAATCCCAAATACTTGGCTGACCCCTCCACCCTCAGGTAATTCACCGAAACTCCCTGTACTATCCATTTAATTAATCGCTGAACCAACGATACACTGTTCCAGTCCCCTATTTTTTTTCGTACGATCGTCAGGATTGAGCACCTAGCCTTGGGGGTACCCTTATGTACCGACTTTAGCTCCTTCCACAAACCCCGGGGGCCCCCCTCTAAGTACAACAACAACACCAAACTTTATTTTTTAGGCTGCGTGCAAACAGACGCAACATTGTTGACCAACAACTCCCAACATTATTGGATGTTACATGTTGCGTCCGTTTGCACACCCTGTTGCATGTTGTTGGATGTTGTTGCGCAAAGTTTGAAACCGGTCAAACTTTTAGCCCCGTGCAAACGGACGCAACATTGTTGGCTTACAACTCCCAACGTAGCCTTACATGAAAATCGATAATTACGAGTACAGACTACCTGCAAATAGCGAAGCTAATCGAGGCAGGTAGAATAGAGACGGATCACTTACACTTAAATTACGATAATAAAAATGGTATTACAGATTTTATACTACTACATGAGAAATGTCTGCAATTTTGATTGGCTTAGAGCAGTGGTATTGCAGCTTAATTTGAAATACCTTCATGTGAAAATTACAAACCTTTTGTGGGTAGTAGTATAAACAAATGATAGCATGATTTGTAGTGATATTTGGCATAAATACCATTCGTGATATTTCAAAATTGTCTCAAATTTCACTCGCCTAACGGCTCGTGAAATGACGTATAACAATTTTGAAATATCATTCGTGGTATTTATGCCAAATATCACTACAAATCATGCTATTACCTATACAAATACAACGAATATATTAATCATAAATAAGAGGCTAGAGGAAGGATAAAAAGACGTAGAATTACCGACTTAAGAAGTCTCAAGCACTAGGAAGATAAATTTTAAATTCTTTACTTTTCATTCAATAAGGCATCTATATCAAAATAACTGTCCAGTTCAAGGAAGATCTGAAAAAAGGATTCGGATATTTTCTTTTTGAATTTTTTTTTGGGGGAGTACATTTAAAACTTAGATGGCCGCCCGTAACGGTGAGCGCTCGTTCTTGACGATCTTCCGAAGGACTGTCTAAACCAACGATAATAATACTTTTTAATAATGTTTTTCTTACATTCCGAGCTGTCATATTGAAGGTTTTCCATCCGGTCACGTTTGTCTTTCTTGTGTCCACACTGCTCAGTAGGAGGATGCTTTTAACGCCTCTAAACTCGTGATATTTAACTTCAGTTGGTGATACAGGATCCTCAGAGTGATAGGCAAACACAATCTTCATAGCGCCAACCTGAAAGAAGAACAATGTATTGTTGTTTATCCATACAGTCGATCCTCCCGTAAGCGACCACCCCAAATTGTAAGACTGAGTGGTCGCTTACGGGCGGTGGTCGTTTACAAGAAGGAGGGAAGGAAGGACGGAAGGATGGAGTCAGGGATTAGAGGGAAACAGACGTGCCCTCTTACAATATATATTAACATGTGAACAGTAAGCTCGGACATCAGCATACAAAGGCGCCACTGGCAGCCACTCTCAGTCCATCTGATGAGCTTACTGTACCCACCCAACCCATGATGTGACTGGTTGGTGAAGGTTGGCCACACCACCGGGGCTTACGTCCCCTACTCTTTTGGAACAGTGGTGTGGGTTCTTTTACGTCCTACAAGAACCAGATAAGTTTAAGTGCTGTGAAACGGGACCTACGGTTTTCTTCCCTACAATATCCAAAAAGACTAGAAAGTCTAATCGTTTGCAGATGTCATTACAAAGGCAGTACTTTCTTCTCAGTTATTTAAAGACCCCGAGTGTTGGTCCGGCCGGGGTTCGAACACGCGACCTCCCGCTCAGCAGACCGACTAACTCAAAGTAATATTTGCTCTCCTCAGATCACTTCTATAGGACTTTACCCTCGATAACCCAAACCATTTTTTAATCGCGTGATAAGTCGATCGAAAAAAAGAAAAAGTGTGTACTGCAGTCTGAAACATTGAATTCAAAACAACTGTGTATTCTTTGCCTTTAATTTTAATCCTCAGTCCAATTCAACTACAGTGTCCAGCCCTGTATATTAATGAGAAGCTTTGTTGCCGAATTCCTTATTTCCCTATTTCCAGTTATTTGCTTTAAAGGCCCGATAACTAGAACCTTCTTGACGTCGGTTGTATTTCTCCAACCACCCTGTGTCAGGCTCTCAGAGAGTAAGTTAAGGACGTCGCGAAAACAAGGCCTAGAGAAAAATACTGTATCAGTGTTAACTCTCTCTCTGCACATTATTGTCTTTGAAAGCTGGACCGGACCTGGCTAGGTCTCTCAAAAACTACTCACCTCGAGTTTTTTGTCACGTGAATCGCATGTGTCAAATTTTCTCGTAAACTTTAGCAGAGTTTTTCCGTCACTTTCTTTGAAATCTGTAAGCTGGTAATCTTGCTGATCATCGATGGGCGGAACTGCTCTTGCGACAGCATAACGATCCTGAAAAAGAGATTTAAAAATTTCATGTAATTCGTGCCACCTCAGTTTCATAGGGCAATCCCTCAAGAAAGTATAAAGCTGTCAGCAAACACATTTCTAAACGATAAGGACAAAGTGTGTTGTTAGCGGCAAGCAATGCACGAAACCGGGCCACAAAATCACAATGTAGAATGAGTTACAGTTTAGGTGTGCAGTTGTTTAATTTTAGATTCAACCGAAATGTTCGGTCTTAACGAGCAAAACATCTCATTCCAGGAGTTAAGTGGCAAGTTCTTCTGATGTAATGAAAGGGAAATAAATAGATTATATGTGTAAACGTTACTGATAAATTTGATGTCCGCCTTCAGAAACGTTGAAAAATGGAAACAGACATAAATCTTACCGAGGTTGTTTACAAATTCATCTTTTTGCATCCCTTACATACTGAGAAATACTCACCAAAAAGCTATGTCGTAAATTTTCGTACGCAAGTGAGTTCTAGCCAATCAGAGGAGCGAAAGATGGTTTCCACACGTGAAAAAAATGACACGTCCAATCAAAATCGCAAACGATGTTTTTTCACGTGTGAGAAAAATGATACGTCCAATCAGAAGCCACAGAGGTGTGTGAGTTTCGCGCCAAAATTCAAGCCTTTTCTTGCAGCTTGAAGCGCGGCTTCGCACACATTCAACGAGAAAAGTTTTTCTCGAAGAGTTTTTCGCGTTAAAAAAGTGAAAAACATTTCGGAAATGGAGTGGAATAGTTTCGTTTGTTTCACTGTTGATAAAGAAAACTGTAGAGAGCCGGCGAAAAAACAGCGGAAGGGGAAAAACAGAAAGAGACGTAAGCTTATGTTGTGCTTTTTGTAGGAGCGCCTTTGTCTTCCACTTAAGGTGGCTGAACACAGTTTTGGTAGTTTGTGAGTATACGTCATTTGCCAAATCATGACAAGAGAAAGGTTGCAGCTCACAAGCTGAAACGTGGCAAGAGAAAAATAAACTGATGAAAGATTTTGAACTACAGGTTTTCGTAGTTTCCATGGCAACATGAACGATTGAAGACAACATTAAAATTCCACTTTTGCTCAGTTTACATAAAACTCGCCCATTAGATTTTCCTATAAACTTGCACACAGCTCACTATAATTAATCATTACCATTTGAAACGTATTGACCAAATTTTAACAGACAGGTTTTTAGATAATCAATAACATAATTGTACTGTAATTATTAAATATGTGACAAAAATCGTCGGTTCAACTTCCATTTTAAAGTTCTCATTATTTTACGCACTCGTATTTACGTACTCGTTGTTTTTGTATCAGAAATCTCACTCGTTAGCAGCTCTCACTCGTTCGATTTCTGATACGTCATCAACTTGTGCGTAAGTACCGTACGCCAGCACTTTCCATGAAATGTTCTCTATATATCTATCGAAATCGTTGGATTTTCATTGGCCTAACAGTGAAAATCCAAAAAAGAAAAGGAATTATATATATGATTATATGATTTATTATTATATGATTTTCATATATTCATAATCAAGAGCCATAATGGGACAGAGAGGGAATCTTAGGGCGTTGGCCGGGATATGTGAATTTCACTAAAGTTATTTTCAGAGGTTGTAATTAAACGGAAGCAGTGCTGACGGAAGTCTAATTCCTGGGACGTCCGCTCATTTTAATCGATTCCATTATGGCTCTTGTCATAACTTTATGGAAAAAGATGTGGCAATTTTTTTTCATGATATATGAAATAGCTATAGATCGGTGTTCTGTAGCACTTTGTAATAAACTTGAGATGGATGGTCGGAGGACAGGTAAACCCAATAATAGGTATCATCACCGACAACAACAACAATAATTGTTTCTTGTTATTATTTTTGAGGATTTTTTACGATGACGATTATTTATATAAGGGGCACTCATAAAACGTCCCCTACAATGATATCGAATAATGTATTATTTATTTCCAAAATCTAGGCATAACTTGATTGACACAATGACGTAATATGACGTCATTATGAAGTCATGCTGTTGAATTAATTGGCAAAATCCAACTCCATGATTTTTCCCTCAAAGCGAAAAATACTCAAATAGTAAGGTGTCTGACAAAATCAAGAAGTTGGCAAACAAATGTCCGCTTTTTTTTTCTGGCGCGGACCAAAAATCATCTGCGAATAGATAAAAAGTAAATTTCTTGGAAGATTTACGGATGTCATTAATACATATAGCACCCTTTCTTCGTAGTTACCGGCACGAGTTTTAAAAAAAATCCTCGAAAACCTGTTTTATATATATATATATATTTATCGAAGGCTTATTTTATTTATTACTACACGCACACCGGTAATCATACTGCTTCATCAGATTCACAAAAAGGAAGTCAGTGGGTCTTGTCCAAATATAGAAATGTTTACAAGTGCTCATATTTTCATGTCACGTTCGAATAAACTAAGCTTTCACATGATACGGAGAACAGCTTCATTTCATTCATTCGCATTCACGTAAATCCAAGATTTGGAAAATGCATAGAAGACAAATGAATTTGAATTTTTTGGCGGACCGAACCGAGTTGTAACGAACTGTGAAACGAAATTGCAAGTCACCGCAATTTAGATGTGCAGATTTCTTGCTCAAGTCAGCTTTCCTAATACAAGCGAAAATTTATGTTGCTTAAACAAGAACACTTACGAATAACATTTTCAAGCCCTACGTTTGTAACCACTCACGACAAGAATGTTTAGGTGATGGGGGACAATTTTAGCACAGCGTGACAAATTGTCACGTAAGAGCGAGATGTATTTATTCTTTTCGGGAATTCTTTTGGGGAATTTATATTACCGGTAGTCAACATTCAGGACTAATTTATCCTTGAAAGTCATGCAACTTCATATAACAAAATGTCTCTATCTCTGAGTAGCATTACACTCAAGCCGGAAAACTGAGTGTAATTATCATCACAATTAGCAAACTATTAGGCCACTGCATCGCGCAAGCTGGAAGAATGAGATGTTCGTAAGAAATGAGCGTCACTCTTAAACAATACAACGTTTTTGAGTGTGTTAATGGTTATTTACAAGCTAATGGGGGCCTCGTTTGGAACGTAACTATTCTAGGAACAGATCCATTAAATGTTTGTTTTCTTTCGTAAGGGCGGCAGCAAAAAAGAAAAAAAAAATCATACTTGCAGCGAATTCAAAACACTGGCTGCATTGATATTTAGTTCACTGTTCTTACCGTAAGATATCCCTTGTTATCTTTGACCCATCCGATCACGACATCACTGCCAGGCATATGTCCAGAAGTGGAGAACCCAAAGCCAACCCAGCCAGTTGTGTCTGCCTCCACGGCAAATGAAACGGTTTCATTCTCCCAGTCAACGGTCCAGAAGAGTCTCATTTTCTCTGCTAAAACGGCATGATGAGCGTACTCCGAGCGCAGATCTGCAGAAGTGCAGTGGAAAGTTGTGATAAACTGTAGAAGAAAGAGAAGCGCAACCAGAGCCATCTTTGTTGCGTGTCCTGCTCGTTAAACCACGACCAAATAATCATGGCTAAATCCAACCTTCACTTTA